TCGAGTGCGCTCACTTGCAAGATTGCAAAAGTTCCGAACAATTGTTCCTGCACACATTCTCTCTCTGCTAGATGTCCTTCAGAAGCACTGCAAATTTCTACGTTACGTCAATAATGAGAAAACTTTCGACTAACGATCCCAAAACATTTTCTCAGAATTGAACTTCGACACTTCGAACCGCTCATCGTCATTCTTCCGCATTTTCCATTCCACGCGACATTCACTGACAAAATGCACGAATATCTCGCGCGATTAGTGCATGCGTCCGGCATGTACTGAGTGTACGCAAAATCCGTTCAACTTTTTTACGACGTCATCCATTTACGCGATTACATCGAAAACATGTCGTTCTGTCAAAACGCGCGGACGCGTGGAGACGTCGTGATCGCCTCTTGTTCTCATTTCACGCCTTGCCTCCCCTGCGCGGTGAACAAACGACCCCCGGGCGTACGTAAGGATAACGCCCGTGGGTCGTTTCACTCGTCAGACATGCTGCATCCCTTGTCTCATCATTTATCATCTCATGATTCACGGCCGGTGCGAGTGAGTAACGAGGTTTGATCGCGCGTTGTAGAGGGAAGGTCCCTGAATAATGGAACACGTCCGGACCCGCCCCGTTAAGCGGTATTAAAACTTCATTCTCACCTTGCAAAAATGATGAAATCGTTAGAAAAGCCTTCTCGAGGGGTCGGATATCTCGAGGTAGACGTTCTTTTTCAGCACAATACGCGTGTCTCTTCTCGGTCGAAATCGGTCCGACCAGGATGGACGAACGGAGTCTCGAGTATCTTTAAGCAAGTGATAGTCTTAAATTCACTGCCGTTGAATTTCTCTCGCATTCTTCGTTCGGAGCTCGTTTGCGAATACGCGTGATTTTTAGGAAAAAATTGAACGAATGCTCGCACCGGCTTTATACTCGTTCATTACGATCCCTCGTTTATGTTGAGTGTTGGTGTTGGTGCAAGGGGCAGGAGACACCGATATACATATGGTACGAGTCGTATCCGACCCACAGTGGCGAAGGATACGAAGGTCGTGTCTCGAGGGTGAGCGAGAATTCACCGTACGGCCAGGCTAGCCTCAATCTGACGAACATCAAGGAGAGCGATCAAGGATGGTACAAGTGCAAGGTCGTCTTCCTCAACAGGTCGCCCAACAGTCACAAGAATGGTACCTGGTTTCATCTAGACGTCCACGGTAAGTAATCACAATTTTTACGCGTTTTGTTTTTCTTTTTTTGTCAGGACAGTGCGAATGCAAGCTCGCGACAGTCGTGGCTTTACGAATCTTAAAATGAAGCGAGACGATGCAATCTCTTCCAGTTTTAGAAGGCACATTCGAGTTTGTCGCAATCACTGCGCAAAATGAGCAATGTAAAGTACGAATGGAAAGTAACTTTCAGGATATGTGCCGTGGCATTTGATGAAAAAAGAACTTTATTCACGTAAAGTTGTCCGCTAGTAATAAAAGTTATATCCGTTACGCGCTAAACGCGCTCTTAGCCGAAGCTTTTTTATGTTCAGCTTATATAACATGAAATTACGTTATTTCTCTCTGCTTCGAATAGCCTCGTTAATATCACTTTGAACTTAAGAAGATTTTACGACTTCGGCTAATGCAGTTTTATAACACTTACTGGAAGTTAACCGCGTGAGTTAAGGCCACGTTTGAATAATTCGGCGAATTTGCAAGTTTCCACAATTCAAATAACAGAAACAATATTTCTACAACAATTGTTAATATTTTCGGTGAAATTAATAATGCGAGTTATGTATATTTTTTTGTAGTTTTATTTGTTACTAATTTATGCTTGTCTCTCGAGTATTAGATGTTCCAAATTTACCTGCGTCCCCATGAGAGAACTTGTAACGTTTGACAACGAAAACTGATCTCGTCGAGAGATGTGCATCGATCGAGGGGAAAGAAACGCGTTCGCGCATTGCTAGAGACACGTGAAATTCCAAAATATATCCTCCTTTTGCGCTTGGTTAAACATATCGACGGGTATAGTAACACGAAAATATTCCCCTTTCTGTCGCGTTCCTTCTCATCCCGGTCGCGTCCTCGAGCTTTCCCCGTCGACGTGACTTCCTGCCAGGAAAAGGAAAGCACGCGGATCATAAAAGACGCTTCAGAAAGACGCCGCTGTCGGTTCCCCGACAGGCGAATTGTACATTCAGCAAACACTGAGGAACCACGCCCCGTCGTGCTCTCGTTCTCCGGCGTGCCCGAAGTTCGCGCGTCGTGGAAGAAGTGTTATGTTTCTTGCTTGCTCAGCGCGCAGTTCGAACTTACGTCTTCTTCCGGAGTTCTTCGCCGTGTCCTTCATCGCTTCAGCGAAATCTCCCGAGAAGCGCGTCCCTGTTATAGGCGAGTAAAATGGAAAGGAGGATCGCAAAAAGATCGTGTTACCGGACGGGAAATGGGACAGAGGAGGGAGGAAAAAAAAGAGACAGAAGAAGGGCGACGGGGAAAAAGGGGAAGAAACTTATTGTCGCATTTTGCTTGGCTATAAACGACGACGAAGGCCCGGAAGGGAAGAGAAACATTTAGATGGCTTAGGGAGGATGTGTCGCGTTGTCCTCTTTTTCCCTTCGTCACACCTCATCCACCTCTTTCTCCGTCAGTTCGCTCCGCTTATTCCCAATTTCTCCGTCGTTCTCTCCGTTAAGCTCTCGGTCACACTCAACAACAATAACAACAACAACAACGAGGACGACAACGACGGCGTCCCGACGATAGACCCGCGGCGTCAAAGGAAAAAATACTCGCGGCACTAGAAAGCGCTTAAGATCCCTTTATACTTTGCAGTCGGCTCCATTCGGTCGCTTGCTCGCGTTAGAGTCATAAACCGTCGCGTCCCTTCGCGTCACTACGCCTCTTTTCTTTTTTTCGCCTCTCCGTCGTTGTATCTTTCCGAAGCGTCGCTCTCGAAATTAAAATTCCCCGTCTTCGAACGCGAGCAAACGGCGCATCGCGGCGGACAATATTCCGGAAAAACAGAAAACAGAGAGGAGCCCCCGTTCCGAATAGTAGCAATTCGTAAGAAACTCCACGCGAAGCTTCCGTAGAAATATTTACTCGAGCCCTTTCCGATTCTACCGGATTTCTCGTTCACGTCGATTAAAATTTTTCCAACGAACGATTCACGCGGGAGAAACGCGCGGCACGAAGGAAGATATCACTCGGAGAATGGTTTTCTTAACCATTACGCGGTGGAAAATTTGCATTATTTCAATCACTCCAATTCTCCTCGTTTTCCCATCGTCCCATCGTTCCTTCGTTTGGAATTGTCGACCGTTACAACGCTACACTGTTGTAAGACGGGAGAACAGTCGACTCTTTACGTCACCGTTCGGTCGCGAGCGGATGGACAGAACCATTGTGATTTCTCCGGGACGAAAAGAGGACGGGTGGATAAAAACGCGGGCGGAACTTCTTGAGGAACATTTTCTAAACGTTGACCTCCTCTCCTCGGGACTCGATTGTTCTTCCAACGTCATTTACCCGCGGCCATTTTCTGTCGCAAGAGTGCCAAGCGCCGTCCTCACTTACAAAAAGATAAACGGCTTACATTTTTCGCAAAGCTTCCCTCCGCGAGGCAGCGTTACTGGGTCGTGAAAATAATAATAATAATCGGTGACGCACGAGATGATCTCGTTCGAGTCAAACAAAAAGGGGATCACCACGGACTGTGTCGCGCGCTTCTCTTTAGAGTTAATATATTATAGTCATACGACGCGATAAGGTATAGTTGTATTAAATCATATCTAATCACTCCCAATCCGTCTCTATTGTTCGCAGCGCCACCCAGATTCAGCATAACACCGGATGATATGATATATGTGAATCTGGGCGATGCGATAATACTCAACTGCCAGGCTGAAGGTACTCCGACGCCAGAGATCCTTTGGTACAAGGACGCGAATCCGGTTGAGCCCAACGGACGAGACGTTGGGATATTCAACGACGGCACCGAACTCAGGCTCTCGACGATCAAGAATGAGGACATCGGCGATTACACTTGCATCGCCAGGAACGGGGAGGGCCAGATCAGCCACACCGCGCGCGTCATCATCGCCGGTGAGCGACTTTTGTTAGAATGTCAAGGAGATTCTAGTCGCGGGACCGCAATTTCGTCGCGAAGTTGAGCAATAAATTATCCGTTCGGCCGGAAGCGGCGAAAGAAGGCACCGATTACGTTCGACAGCAACCGAGTCTTATCGAGTGTGAGAGATAAAACTTTTTTAATTTAAATCTCACTGTCGTTCAGAAATATATTTGCTAGCGTAGATATGGAGTCTCGCGGACTAAAAGTTGCCATGTATTTAAGCCGCTTTAAACTTACGACGACGTAATATTAATAATGTAATAGATCAATCTGCGCATTTATTTTTTATTATGTGTGTACTAAGTAAGAGATAATTATCGTCTCTTCGTTATTTCTAATTTGTTGAAAATATTCCCGGCAGAGTCCGGAACATATGTATATTCTAGCTTAAAAAAGATCGAATTCCTAAAAGGTTCTCCTGAAAATTTATCCGGCGTGATTTTGTCAATGCGAGTCACGAACGGTTCATCCATTCCGCGGTTTCGCCGCGGCGAATAACAACTGCTTTTTTTCCGTCGGCCCCGGTAATATCTCGCGGAAAATGTTAGCGTGCATGCTGTTAAATATTACTGTCTGACAGGAGCATGTTGCCGGCGACTGCAGCGCGGCCACTTAATCTACTCGATTCAGCGACGGCGACAAAAACCATCGTAGCACGGCTTTCGTTTTAGAGTCCCGTGTTAAACGAGCGAGCGATACCGCAATGTCGCACACCGCATGACGATTGGGATAATTAAACGACTGTCCAGTCGGCGGCGTTTACTTGTCCCCTTGTAGTTGACGGAGTACATAAAACGTCCGTCCTGATTGATCCCCAGAATCAATATCTTAATCAATCATTTACCCGTCACGACCGTGCATTTTATCGCTACGCGAATGCTTATTGGCTCAAAAAGATGGAAGACAGTCTGTCGGCCTATTAGGTACTTGTTTTATTCTGGCAATTAAATGTCTATTTTTCATAGGCTATAAGATAGATGCGTAATTAAAATATAATTAAGGAATATTTCATAAAAGTTCTGCCTCTATCGAGGTAGAAGGAGGAGAGAGCAGGGGGGGAGGCAGAACTCGGGAGCCCTTCGGTATATAACGCGAGTAAACTAATTAAAGTAGAAGATACTTTGTACTGAAGCTAATAAGAAGACCGGCCTTTGTAACTTTTTTCGTCGAATATAAATATAAAGTCGATTGATTAGTTTGCTGACAGCGAGACGCCGCGATGCACTTTTTCCCGGAAACTTAATACGAA